TCCTTGATTATTACGCCGGAATGAGAGTATAGTTCCTAGCCATATCGGCCTAGAAAAATGCAACTTTTCATTTACCGTCGTTCTTAGTACACGATGTAACTACAGAAGAGTCAAGTTTTAAATAGGAAAAAAATAGAAACTCTTTGGTCATTTTTGAGCGAAATGCTAAAGGTCTAATCAGATTTAATGATCTATGCTAAGCTACAGCTAAAAGTGCTACCGCCAGACCCGGAGATCGGCTGAATGGATTCGAAAACTGTAAAACTCAACTGTTTAACTCTAGGGGAGTTGGAAAATGAGCCTATTTTCAAAAATAGTGGAGTGTTCCTTTAAGTTAAAGAGATTTTAAGGTAATAAATTAATAATTAAGTAACACATTTGCATGTTCATGGTTATTTGATGTTGGTTAATGGTCACATGACAAATAAATGATAAACATAATAAACAAATTAAAAATTTATGTTTATTTATTTATATATTTATTTATTTGATTGTTGTTATTTTAAACTGATTTATTTTAATTTTTAATTTTTATAATTTAATTATTAGCTTTTCATTTAACCTACGAACCCCCTGCAGTTCCTATATGAACCCCAGTTTAGGAAACCTTGACCTAATGTAATGTTTAATGCACTTCATTATGTATATAACAACAAATATATTATGTTTTAATTTTCTTTGCATTTTATACCAGCATGGTACAAGATTATCCTATTTAGGGTTAGGTTTACGTTACTAACTACAATATTTGTCATGTAATTTGGAATCAGTAACGGACTACAATTTGCAAGTAATCTGAGAATCTGAGAAGCACCTGGCTGCAGCCTGCAGATCGGGGCGGGGCTGCACGTGTCACCCCGCCTACAACTGTTCTCATTGGTTAGTGGCGTCAAGTCATGACGTCGATTCTAGTGGGTTTTCCATTTCTGCTGTTCTACGCTGCATGGTGATAATTCTCACTTCTGAAGTTGTGATTACGAGCTCATCGCATTAAAGTTTCGAAATGGGAGGCGAGCTACGTCTCTTGTCTAATTTGTTTAATTACAATTTTTAATTCTAAAGTGGCGTTTAGTGTGTTGTTAAAAGGAAATGTGAAGTAGTTTAAAAATAAAATCGCATAACTTTACTCACTCAACCATGTCACGCAAATAACCAGGGCTGCGTTTCCCAAAAGCATTTTAGGGCTAATGCCGCCTTCACGTACTATCGGAAATTTGATAATTCTCACTTCTGAAGTTGTGATTATGAGCTCATCGCATTAAAGTATCGAAATGGGAGGGCATTCATGTGCAATGTTTACCTAGGAAACTCGTATTTACGATAATTCCGAGAGCACGTGAAGGAAGCATTAGAAACGTTAGTGTGTGTGGTTTTGGTGGGATTATGATTAGGATAGTGTTCCCAAAATAAGCCCCTTAAAAAGAAATACAGTGGCAAAACTGAACCAGCAGAAGTAATATAGGACAAGTTAATATTAACAATAGCTATACAAAATTATATTGTTTTTCTGTGAATAAAATTATTAAATGTAAAATATTTAGATATTAGTATTATTATTAATTATACATCTATTAAAATAAACAGTAAACTACATTTAATAATAATAATTCAACAAAAAGTATGATTAAGTTTAACAGTCCTTGAAAATAGAGCTCGTTTTTTATATTTATATTATAGCAGCATAACAATGCTGCTATAGAGTATATGCACTAGAGCAGGTGCCCAATCCTGCACCTGGAGGGCTACTGTCCTGCATAGTTCAGCTCCATCCCCAATTAAACACACCTGAACCAGCCAATCAAGATCTTATTAGGCATACTAGAAACTTCTAGGCAGGTGTGTTGAGGCAAGTTAGAGCTAAATTCTGCAGGACAGTGACCCTCCAGGACCGACTTTGGACACCCCTGCACGAGTAAAAAAAGAAAGAAAACATTTTATGCTAATACTGATTCTCTGTATTTCCTTCATTTTGCAGATCATTGTCATTGTCATTCCTACCCCTCCATCTCTCTCATCTTTTTTTGTTGTTCTTCACTTTATAACTCAAAGGCTCTTTTAAGACCCATTTCCCCTTGCAAAAATGCACAAAACTGTGTTAAGCAAGGGGGAATGGGAGCAGTATTTCAAAAACTGCAGTAGTGAGTGCCCATTCTGCAATTACACCAGTATGCCACAGCTGATGTATTATCACATCAAAAACCACTTTCAGTGGGCAGTGCAACATCATGGTGAGTTTAACTGTCTTTTGCTTATGTCACTTTAGTTAAAGTTTAATATGGTGCCGAACCAGCCAGTAATGCACTCTGCATGCTTCTGATTTCATTGCTTGTGAATTTGTAGTAATTTTAAGGCTCAGGTAAACTTCATTTTCTGCGTTCCACACATTGACCATGGGTCTTTGTTGCTCAAATCGCAAAAAAATGTGCTTACACATGGATGGTGCTGATGAAAATTCTGTCTTGCGACTGTCCAGAGCAAAATGCAAACAAGTGAAGGTTAATTTTAGGCAATTTTCAACAAACATATTTTCTTTTTTTGCTCTTTCAGATTTCACCATTTTAAAATGTAGTTTAAAATGTCGGGCAAAGTGCCACTTTCACTGCTGCTATTGTTCAGCGACTGTAATAACTCGGGCAAATTTGCTGAAGCACATCGCCACCCATGCTTCACCACCAACCCAGCCTCAGTCGACCTCTGTCCAGCAGCCTCAGTCTTCCTCCTTGGTCCAGCAGCCGCAGCCGCAGCCTCAGTCTTCCCCCTCGGTCCAACAGACGCTGCCTCAGTCCAATTTATATGTACAAATGATGTGTTATATACAGATGTACAAATTTCACCTTTCTTTATCATAATTAAACCGTTTCATACCTAAATAAATAACAAGGAAATAATTGTCTTGGCATGTTATTCATATACAAGCAATGCTGGTATTTTTCCCATAAGCTTTTCATTATCAAGTAAATCCATAATGTATTAATTTGGTAACAATATAGTTCATTAGTTAACATGAACTAATAATTAACTGCACTTATACAGCATTTATTAATCTTTGTTAATGTTAATCTCAACATTTACTAATACATTATTAATCTTATTAACATTAGTTGATGCTCTGAACTAACATGAACAAAAAATAAACAACTGTATTTTAATTAACGTTAACGAAGATTAGTAAATACAGTAACAAATGTATTGCTCATGGTTAGTTCATGTTAGTTAATACATTAACTAATGTTTAATGAACCTTCTTGTAAAGTTTTACCATTAATTTTAATAAGATTAAGACTTGACACTCTTGCTGAGAACATTCAACTTTTATTTAAATGTTAATAATGAATACATGTAGATGATGCGATTTCAATTTTTCCTTTCTCTTTGGAGTGTTACAAGCTCTTGGTGCATAAAGAAGATCTGTAAAGTTGCAAAGACTAAAGTCTCAAATCCAAAGAGATATTCTTTATAAAAGTTCAGAGTCAGCCACACCTACCTAAAACGGCTCGTTCTAACACGCCCCCACATATCTACCTCACTATGTGGGAAGATTTGCGTAACGCCGCCCAAATGTTCACGCAAAGAAAGAAGGAGTAACTTTTAGTCTCACTGTAGTATTGTTGACGATGCAGCCATGTTGTGAAGACGCTGTGTGCTTCGTTGTGAAAGCGAAACTACTTTGTTTGGTCTTCCAAAAGAAGACACGACTACAAATCAGTGGTTAAGTTGTATTTATTACAACACTGTTCCAGAACAGTTTAACCCAAATATTCTGATGTGTGCAGCACATTTTATGGAGGACTGTTTACTGATCCTGGGAGAGTAACGTTAGACTACAATGCCGGCAGTTCTGACTCACAGTCTGTAAGTACGTTTTCATTTAAAGGATTTGCCACTGATGATTCAAACGTGAGTTTTGGGCAGTAGCACTTTTGTTGTTGTTTGTTGTTTCTCCGATCACAAATGCAGACAGAGTTTTATGTTTACGCGGCGCAATTCAACGCAACGCGTAAAAAGACAGTATAAGTCATTATAATCAGTAATTATGTCTCCACTGGATGCAACAAATGCCTCGTTTGTAATGGGTTTTAATGTTTTTGTCTCGTCGCCCCGGGCCGGACATGACATCAACAGTATGGTGAGGGGCGCACTGGATAGCTGGCCAATCACAGCACACCTCGCTTTTTCAGACCTTGAGCTTTGTAAAAATCGAAAAATCGCTTTTCAAAAAGGCGGGGCATAGAGGAGAAACAATAATGTACAGTATGTGGAAAATAATGTTATGTTAATAATGTTTAATGCTTTAAACCGCATAAACACATTTCATTACGCCAAATACACAAAATAATGTTATTTTTAGTAGCATCATATGACCCCTTTAACTTTACATTTAACTTCAGAAGCAAAGTATAAAATATTTTATGTCCTAATGCCCATGATTCTACAATATTGTCCTGATGTCAAATATTATCATATCAATCACATTTTTCTTGACATTTACTCTTTAACCTTTTAAAAATCTGATGAAACATAGGTCTGATGAGTGTATCTTCCAGCTTTGACACGTCATCACAAGTCTCGGCCAATGGAAATGGAGGCGTGAGTATATTCACGCGTCCGATTGGTCAAAAGTTTCTGTTTCAACACCGACGCGATATAAGTGTCAACAAAATGAGCATGTAAAAGAAACTCAAACAAGACAAGACAGGAGATTAACTCAGATCCAGAAGACGAACTGTTCACGTGGCGTGATAATTCATTATGGTGGACAGTGTTTACCGTACACGCTCTCTCGGTGTAGGTGTAGTTGGTCTTCCTGATCAGTATGCCGACGGTAAAGCAGCGAAAGTGTGGCAGCTGTACATCGGAGACACTCGGAGCAGGACAGAGGAGTACAAGTGCTGGTTGCTGTCCCTGCTCAGAAAACATGGGGTACAGAAGGTGTTGGATGTAGCCTGCGGAACAGGGTATGACCTAACATGTTAATAATAACTTCTAAAATAAATAAATAAAAAATATGACTGAAAAATGTTTAGTCCAGAGTCCAGACTGATTGCTTTGTGTTATACCCAACTCCACCTCTCAGAAATCTGGGTCATGTGGTTGGGCAATGAAGCTGAAGACATTTAGGCTGAATTACACAAAGGCTTTGTTTCAGCAAGAGTCATGACTGCTTGTGTTATTTTTCAGTGTGTGTGTGTGTGTGTGTGTGTGTGTGTGTGTGTGTGTGTGTGTGTGTGTGTGTGTGTGTGTGTGGATAGATATGACCACTTGAACATGTGCTCCCTGCCAATGAAACATGGACACTAACTTGTCTAATAATATCTGCTGTTGCTGCTGGCCAGTGCTGTGTAGTAGCTGTATTTGGGGAGTGCCTTTATGGACAATTGTTAACTCAGCATAACCTGCAAGACCTTTTTTCTATTTAGATGAACTCCGGACTGGGCATTTGTATTCTCCTCATAGCAATGTCTGTAGCAGATATTTATCCTCCTATCAATTTAAACTGCAAATCATGTGTTTTAAAGTCAGCATGAAATAGAAAATGTAACCAACTTTTCTTCCCTAATGCAATGTAGTGAAACATAGTACAAAAAATATAGGTATGGGGCCTCATTTATAAAACTCTCCATAGATTTAATTCTAAAAGTGTACGAACGCACAAAAGCTACATTTTGCGTACACAAATTTATAAAACCATGCGTACACTAGAACCTGCACAAAATCCCTTTATAAATCACAGGCAGGGGAAGATTGCGCGCACGTGCATCTCCACCCCGTCTCCTCCCTGAAATAACCATATATGGAGCTTACAATGCCAAGTTTTACTATGCATAACCTCATCTGCATATCATTTCCATGTATATTCCCATCCACGTGACACCATGTTTAACACTGTCAAAGATAAAAGACATTAAGGAAATATGAGATACGGACTATAAATGCCATTTGTGCCATACATTAATTTTTATTGTTAAAAATCATCCAATATCCTTGTGTTTTAGAAGAAATATATCAAAATATCCATCAAAAATACTGTTTAAAATTGTTATTAGATAAATGTTTTAGAATAGAGATGATCTCATTGTTTTACACTGGCCAAATAGTATTTAAACTGTTTCAAACTAATTTATGCAGTTTTGCTGATAAGGTGACCATCTTTTAGCTATTTTTAGTGGAAACAGATAGGCCTATATTTATTGCAGTGTAAATACAATTGTCTGACTCGGCGCGTCACTGACATTTTAAAATGGAAACGTGTAAATCTTACCATTTTCTTTAAGTTGAATCCTTCAAATACAGTGGTATTTTTCATAATGTTGAGGAGATGCCATTGCCTACACACGACATCAACCTCTGTGCAGCTGCATGTTGTACAGTAAGCTATTATCATTGGACACATTCAAACTGGACAATGGACCATTCGACCACCGAAGCAGTGTCCGCCATAAGTGCGCATCATTGATCATTGTTCTCGCAAAATATTTATATTTTCTCATAACATGAGATCTGCAGTTTAGTTTAAAGATGTATTATTGTGCACCTATTGCACTCCTCGCTGTCTATTAGAACATAGCCACAGGAAACGTGATCAAGCGCATCCACTATAAATGTCTAAATTCATATAATTTTTGTTTAACTTCTGCGTAATGACTTTATGTAATTTCAGTGCTTATCTCCATTAATGAGAGTAAATGTGTATATCGAAATGAAATCAGAGTTTAAAATGCTTGTTTACTTCATTACTTTTCTCACCCCAGGAAAAAGAGTGCGTATGCACAGTCAAGAGCATCCGTATGGTGCGCACATATTTACGACAAGTTTGTTTTTTATCAATCCAGATATGTACGTGGAAAACAGCGTACACACATTTCTATGCCCGCCCATTTTGTGCGAAGGCCTGCGCAACGTTTATACATTAGGTCCCTGGTCTTCATCTGTTTGGAATTGATTGAATCAAAGAAAGTTGTTTTGCAAACTAAATGGAGGCACATCTGAATGCAAGTTTGCAGATAGTTGTGGAGTGAGAAGTTGCTGGAGGGGAGGGATTGAAACTTGGCTGGCCATTGGGCAACCTTATTTCCCAGCCTTCACACCAGTATACACTTAAAATAAATGTTCAAACGTTGTTACCAGTGGGATACAAGGGTACGTTTAGAAAAAAAAAGTGTTTGGATAAATTATGATAAATACTGCTGCAACATTCTTTTAAAAAAATAATAATACAAGGCTTGATGAATGTATGCATCACTCTGCTTAAATGCATGTTTCAAATTGAATCACTGTTTTGTGCAGTTGTATCATTGACAAGTTTTGATATGTTAAAATGTAAATGCATTTTTTTTGCATGTAACTACATTTAAAATTTAGTTGAACTGCCAAGGATAGTGAGTTTCCTTAAAATTGATTCACACCATTAAATATATTTACTGTAGCTTTATTACATCTTGTCATTATAACAGCATCATTCAGTTCTCTGTAATTTAGTCAGTTCTATGTCTGAATTTCTCTGTGTGAATGGATGGCAGTTTCTGCACTACACATACTGAAGTATATGTGACATTCATGGTGTTTAGCATTTGCTTTCTCACTATGTAAGGGCACGAACTTAATCTCCAGAGCTGCTCTGAGAGTCACTTCACCAGCATTTCACCATTTCGTTTGATAAAACAATCGTATATCACAAAGAAACTCAAAGGCCTTCATGACAACCTGTCAAAATAAAAGTGGTTTAATATGTGAGATATATTACTATAGTATATATTACACACAGGATGCACTTCTCAAAAAAATAAATATATTATTATTATATTTATAATTATATTCATTGTATTTATAATGGCCTTTTTTTTACATTTCCATGTTTCTCAGAAGCAGAAGTCATAGTAGTTGGATAAACTTCTATAGAGGTAAACAGGAGACTACATTCAATGTATTTGTGTGTGCAGTGGCGCTTGCAGGTGTACGGCTGTACGCACTGTGGCGTACCATGAGCGCTTCGGCTGACCTGACCTGTCCGTCTGCCCTGCAAATATTTCACCAGTTATGATGTGTGTCCCGTATTTCTGTCAAGTGAACTAGCCATGCCACTAATTATGAATTAATCATTATTTTGAGTCATATGAATCATATGAAGCATTCCTCCGTAACAGTAACAAGATACTTAAAGGGGTCATATGATGCGATTTCAATTTTTCCTTTCTCTTTGGAGTGTTACAAGCTCCTGGTGCATAAAGAAGATCTGTAAAGTTGCAAAGACAAAAGTCTCAAATCCAAAGAGATATTCTTTATAAACGTTCAGAGTCAGCCACGCCTACCTAAAACGGCTAGTTCTAACACGCCCCCACATATCTACCTCACTATGTGGGAAGATTTGCATAACGCCGCCCAAATGTTCACGCGCAACGCGTAAAAAGACAGTATAAGTCATTATAATCAGTAACTATATGTCCCCACTGGATGCAACAAATGCCTTGTTTGTAATGGATTTTAATGTTGTGTCGTCGCTACGGCTGGACACGGCATCAACAGTATGTGAGGGGCGTAACATTTCCGTCACACGCTTGAGGTATTCGGCCAATCACAACGCACTGAATAGCTGGCCAATCACAGCACACCTCGCTTTTTCAGACTGATGAGCTTTGTAAAAATCGACGCGTTTCAAAAAGGCGGAGCATAGAGGAGAAACAATAATGTACAGTATGTGGAAAATAATGTGTTTTTTGAACTTTAAACCACATAAACACATTTCATTACACCAAATAATGTTCTTTTTTGCAACATCATATGACCCCTTTAAACATTTAAACACAGACCAGAAGTCTGTAAAATATATATTTTAAAGGATTTGGTGATCTCTAGTCTAGTGATTGTACGTTATTGTTGTCATAATTCAGGTTGTGTTTCAGCTCTAATGTACGTTTTTTTTAAACAAAGCAGCTGATACTGCTATAGTGACCGCAAGAAGCTAGTGGACTGCCGAGTCACTTTCACTCCAAAATGGCGGAAGCGTAGGGCTGCTGCTGGGCGCTGCTGTTCCAGTGGAACATTCTATTGGCTTTCACTTCTTGTCAGTATACGTTATTTGGCACAACGGGCGCATGCTGCTCCTGCTCTGCATACGCACTGCTTGCGCATCTAGTGTGAAACAGGCGCTGTTGCTTTAAGATCTGACGCATAGATCAAATATTTTGACACTGTTCAAGTTCACTTAAGACAAAACCGACTGCATTTACATGAAACGTATTAGTCTCCAAGACGGGCATTTTGACATAACTTTTCATGTAAGTGTGTAATAACAGAACTTAAGCGAAAGAGAACTCGGCATTCGCACACTGACTTGAGAGGCAGGTTCTGTGGCCGCAGTTTCGGTGTGTGAGCACAGAAACTGGTCGGCTTTCAAATGCTGGACAAGACTTAAAAACACATGCAAATACTGAATATCACTTTCGTGATAATGCATCGAGTCAGTGACATGTTCGTCAAATGTGCCTGGACTCGGTTTGACTCGGACATATTTTCCGAGTTGAGTCCGAGTAATAATGCATCCGAGTCCGTGACAAGTCCGAGTCCTTTAAAATGTGTATTTGAGACCTCGAGTCCGTGTACCCCAACTCTAATATATATATATTTTTAAAGGGTGGATTCCATCATGTTGGTAGAAGAGGGATTTAAGGTGGTTAGTGTGGATGCCAGTGACAAAATGCTCAAATATGCTCTTAAAGAGAGATGGGAGAGGAGAAAAGAGCCTGCCTTTGATAACTGGGGTAAGTGGAGATCCCTGTTTTGAGTGGGTGACTTTACTTTTATGCGAGAATCAGTTAAATGTTTTTTCATGGTCTGGACATTTTATTTCAGTAATTGACGAGGCCAACTGGCTAACGTTACCAGAAGATGTTAAAAAACCTGGAGATGGCTTTGATGCAGTAATCTGTCTAGGCAATTCATTTGCTCATTTACCAGACTTCAAAGGTAAAAAAAAAGTTGCAATATTTGCAAAGCAAAAAAGTTGTAATATTTTTTTTACGGATTTGTCTATTTAACCACTTTCTCATATCTCACAGGGGACCAGAGTGAACAGAAGCTTGCCTTACAAAACATAGCCAGCATGGCGAAACCTGGAGGGATCCTAATCATTGACCACCGTAACTATGATTACATCCTTGAGACTGGCCAAGCACCCCAAGGAAAGAATATTTACTATAAGGTAGTTAAAGACCCACTGAGGTGTGCTGACTTAATTTTCAATAAAACAGGAAGTTATGGCGCCATCCACTTGATTCTTTGTATTGAGGATTTTACATCAGGGCTTAGCTGCAAAAATTTGAAAAAAAAGAGACACATTCTGATAAATAGTTTGTCAGCATTACCTACCTAAAAGTAATTAAAGGTTCAGTAAAATGTGGTTTCTGAGAAACAGTGTTGAAAACTGAAATCAACACGCAAACAAACAATTCTGTGAATATTTGCTAGCTGCCTGTTCTGTGTGATGAAAAAATGGTGTTCGTTTTTAAGGTTGTTAACTTAAAGGCTGTTTGGTTGATTTTTGCTATTGTAAAAGTCCAATAATTCTGATGAAATGTGAAAAAAGTCAGGGCTTGTTTTTCAGAGTGACCTAAAACAGGACATTTCCACCTCAGTGCTGTGGGTTAATAGCAAGCCTCACATGATCACACTGGACTACACTCTGGAACTGCCTCAACCAGTGGATGTTCAGACTCCACCTGATACAAGGTACTGTGACCTAAGCTTCTAATGGGGTCAGTTTTTGAGTGGTTGTAATCTGTATTATAGAGTACACTGGAACATGTATGTAATTACAAAAACAGAAAACAATCAGCCGGGGGCAAACAGTTTTTCACAGTACTGTAGCCTATATATCTTACAATACCAGGTGAAGTATTGCAATACAGAGAAGTATCACTATATCACGATTAATTCATAATTAAAATCTACAAATGCAGATATCTATCTATCTATCTATCTATCTATCTATCTATCTCTCTCTCTTTCTGTCTCTCTCACTCTCTCTCTCTATATATACAGTATATATATATATATATGTATATATATATATATACACACGGATATATATATATATATATATATATACAGGGCTTAAAGTTCTCCGGCACCGTGCCGGATCTCCGGCGTGCAGCGTTTGGCTGCGGAAAAAAAGAATCCTACATTTATAAAAAAACTTGTTGATATCACTTTCAAGTCCATGGTTTTGCCTACCAATGGTATGAGAGGAGCACAGCTTTCACTCTCAACCAAACTAACATTACTAGCCAATAAGAATATTTTGCTCTTATAAACATGAGACACGCATAATAGTATCCAATTGCAGAGTCGCAGCCCTGATGAATGGAGAAGCGTGACAAAAAGCTGCGAGGCGCAATGGTCAAAGATGTCCATCTAACGCATATATTTATATAGAAAAACCAATTTAAAAGCAGTGGAGCTTTGTAAACAGCTCAGAGTAATCATGTCATCTCCATAAGAACGATATGATTGCCCGAACAAATTTACCAGGATTTTTGAAAAGGTCCTGAATCACACATGATCTCTTAATGGTAACTTAACGGGAATTTATCAGTAAAGACTTATGTGTGAAAGGGGCTAAACTCTTCCTCTGCATATGCTGTGAATTTGAATTGCTTAACGTTCATCTGGGAAAAACAGTGTGCATTATCTCACTAGATTTGTAACGTAAATCATTTATAAACCTTTGCCAACACAGGAGAATGCATCAACCTATTTCTAAATATGCCATTTATTGTACATCGCGATTTCAAAATAAATGTTTCTGAGTTTGTATGTGGCCAAATATTAAAATGTAATGGATTTAATGGAACGTTTAATCACGCTGTAAAGTGAAACATCACCAGGCCGTTGGCGCCCTCTGCAGGTATTAGTTATAATACATAATTTAGGAGCGCTACACACCTCACGCACCGGATGCCAAGACAGTTGGACATTGTGGTGTATTAGAGGTAAAAAATTATATAAATACTGTTCGGTTTCTGGAACAAACCGATCGTTTCGTGTCTTAGGACATTAATGTGTTGTCACAAGCCGCAGGGTTTAATTTGGGTGTGTCTGTGCATGTTTTTTTTACTCTCATAGATTTTGTTACTATTGCCATGCATTATACGACTGATAGACTGCAACGGTTAAAGTTAAAAATCATCATATGTGTTCTACTGAAGAAACAAAGTCACCTACATCTTGCATGCCCTGGGGGTAAGCAGATAAACATTTTTGGGTGAACTATCCCTTTAAGTTGGTTATGTTTGTATTATGTATAGGCATATTACATTATGTATTTTAACACTGTTGTTCAATAAAACCATAACTTTGCCATAGTATCCTTTCAAATGTTAAAGAAAGATAAATATTTATACACCATGTGCATAATTATTAGGCACGTTGATATTCTGATGATATTTTTTTTCCAAGCACATTTTACCAATTCCAAACCACATCAATCTTAATAACTACTATTGATTTTGTATTTAATCATTTATAAGTGATATATAATTGTACATGAAGGCTGGAAGTGGAAAAACTCCTTATATTCAGGTGTGGAGAATTATTAGGCATGTTTTCTTTTACTGATAAAATTAGACAAAAAAGAGGTTTAACTCAGACTGAGATGTCAAAAATGATTAAATCCCCATGAGAAATATTCAAAACTAATGCAATACAGAAATTGTAAAGTTAAGACATGACCATTGGACCACAAAATGCTCACTGGGACAGCGGGGTCAGAAAAAAACAGGTGGAGAAGAAAAGACACATGTTAACTGCAAAAGATTTATGAATTAATGTGAAGAATTAGATGTAAAACTATCAGGAACCATTTAGTCTCCAGCGTCACCATTTTCCAGAACTGCAACCTACCTGGAGTCTCCAGAATTACAAGGTGTCAGGTTCTCAGAGACTGCTTAGGTAAAAAAAATCCTAAAACATTACCCTCACTTAATAAGAATAACATGCTGAAGTATTGTGAAATACATTAAGAATGATTTTTTTTTATAGGCTTTATGGACAGATAAGTGAGCGCGATTGAGGGTGACTCTTGAAGGACCAACACCACATTCTCTTGTACCACTGTTTGAATAATTTATCTCTCAGAATCTGGCAGTAAGTTTTAGGAGCTCATTTTTATTCCATCTCCTATCTAGGGGTGTAAGAAAATATAGATACACGTGAGTATCGCAATATTTTGTTTGGCAATACTGTATCGTTTCTCAAAAACCAAATATAGATATTAAAAAAAAATTTTTTTATACAAGATTCATGGCAGTTGTTTTGTTTTGAGTTTATATCCCGACCGCTAGATAGCAGTCTTCATCTCTGAACTTAAACAGTGACAAGAAATACTAGCATTAGGGCACGCCACTAATGTTAGCATTAATATAGGCCCTGTCCCATATGGCACCCAAACCCTCTCGGTCTTCCTCTGAATCTGCACTTTCGTGACGTATTGCCGCTTTGACTGTTGGGTAGAAGTCTACTGCGGCACTCGCCCCAGTGCGGGTTCAGCAAAAATGCGAGGGTGCATAACGGCCGCAAAGGGGCGCTCGCGAGCACCCCTCTGAACGCTGAAATGACGAATGGGAAACCTACGGTCTCGTGGACTTAACGGACACACGCACGCAGCGGCCATTGTAAGTCCGTAAGACCGCAAGTGCACATGAAGTGTTCTATTTGGGACAGGTAGTTCACTGCTAGTGATTGAGGAAGAAAGAATTGTTCCAGTTCCTGTTTCGGTGTATGGTGTCATTTGGGCTTTTGTGGTAACCGCCTCGGTTCCGCCGCTTGCCACATCCTGTGTGAAAGCCTCAGGCGGCTGTAGCTTTCTCTCGTGGTGGGGGCATTTTGAGTTGGGGCGGTGCTTGCGTCACGGTCTCGGCGATTCCACGCGGAACATAAATACAAACTGAAAAACCTGTGAAATCCAAGTGCAAAGGTTCTAAGAATGTTCAACATCTGTATTTATTTTATTGTTTTACAATTGTTTTGTTTTCTTTAGGAATCCTGCAAGTGCTTTATTTTTCATTAATATTAAGCAGATGTAATTATTTTGTTCAGATCAAAATGTTATGATATTGTATGTTACTATTGTAAACTTAAACTTTGAAAGCAGGGTCTAAAAATATATATGGTCTTTTTATAAAATACATTTTATACGTACCGTATTGGCACGAATGTAAGACAACCCTGATTATAAGACGACCCCCCCCTTTTCCAGATGTACCTTTTGGAAAAAGGCTTTTTAAAAACCAAATCTTGTTTTTTCTCAGTAAAACATTTTGTCTTCAATTATTTTCATATTGCATATTTTTCCTATTTTAATTTTTGTTTTGAAAGTATAGTAAAAACTGGTAAAATGTACCAACAATCACATAAAAAAAAATATACACTTTAAAAAAAAAAAGCAGGTAGCCCATCTGAATCATTACGTATTTCATGGCACACTCGTTTTATGCGTATTTGGCGCCACCTATTGTTGTGGGTGTATTATTGACATGTCAAAGTCTAGACCCTGAATATAAGACGACCGCGTTTTTTCAGATGTATTTCCAAGAAAAAAACATTGTCTTATATTCGGGTCAATACGGTATTATAAATTTAACTAAAGGATCCTGCAAGCACTCTAATTCTGGAGACTCCAGGAAGGTTGCAGTTCTGGAAAATGGTGGCGCTGGAGACTAAATGGCGCTGGAGATACATTCTTGATGGTTTTACATCTAATTCTTCACATTTATTCTTAATACTTTTGCAGTTAACATTTGTCTTTTCTTCTCCACCTGTTTTTTCTGACCCCGCTGTCCCAGTGAGCATTGTGCTGTCCAATGGTCATGTCTTAACTTTGCAATTTCTGTATTGCATTAGTTTTTAATATTTCTCATAGGGATTTAATAAAAACCTATTTTTTGTCTAATTTTATCAGTAAAAGAAAACATGCCTAATAATTCTGCACACCCGAATATAAGGAGTTTTTCACTTCCAGCCTTCATGGACAATTATATATCACTTATAAATGATTAAACACAAAATCAATAGTAGTTATTAAGATTGATGTGGTTTGGAATTGGTAAAATGTGCTTGGAAAAAAATATTATCAGAATATCAACGTGCTTAATAATTATGCACGTGGTGCATATGCTGTGTGTGTATATATATATATAGCCTAACAAGGTAACAAAGGAAAATGCTAGGTAATGTCCACAATGCTAAACAATACTTTGCGATGTGTGTAAGCAAGTGTCCAACTTAAATATTCCTCCTGATAGGAAACAGGAGGAGTCTGAGATTAGTTCCTAGGCTGACGGTTGGGGGAAATGGAGTCCAGAGTATAGGGGCAAGAGTCTGGGGTAGAGTGCCCTCTGGTGAGTGTCCAGGGCACTCCAACTGGTGATCGTGACATAGCCACTCCCCACCCCCAAGGTTCCAGACACTCTTAAACAAAAACAGACTTAAGTCCAGGATGGAGGTAGAGCAGAGGCTGAACAGGGGGAGGGATGGAGGGCCAGGTCAGTGGAGTTGTGGCAGACTATGGCGCAGTAGAGGACCTGGACCATGGAGCACCACCACCGCAGAGCCGATGGGACCGAAGATCCCCACGGTGGAGCAGGCGACCACCACAGAAGAACAGATGTGGTGCATATTGTGTGTGTGTATATATATATATATATATATATATATATATATATATAGCCTAA